TTTACATACCGTTCCTGATAGGGTTCTAAAAGAGCCTCTAAAACACTATACTACTATAGTGAAATATATGAAAAAACCTAGGATTAGGGTTCAATTTTAGAACCATATCAGGAACAGTAATCAAATAATTTTTTTTTAACTCCATCAGGAATAGTAATTTTGCCATTTTTTATTAACGAATTTTTTTTTTTTAAAAAAAAAAAATCCTTCGCCGGGTCACTAAAGGTTAGTTGGATATGAAAACCAATAGTATAAGTTTGTATGGTCTTATTAAAAATTTTTTTTACCTATAATATTTTTTACCGGGTATCAGGGTTGTGAGACGATAAAATTCATAAATAAAATTTTTTGAAAAAAAATTAAAATCTGGTCGGCGGGTTACGAAAGGGCAGTTGGTGATATGAAAACCGAAATATAAGTATGCATGACCTAATTTATTTGTATCTCTTTTTTGTTAATTATACTATGAAATAGAAATAATTGTTTTTTTTTGTAATGTCATTCGGACAACTAGGGATGAGTAATTTTAAGATCTTAATGTTGTTTTTTTAACGCATGTAAAATTTTTAACCGGTTACACTATTTTTTCATCCGTATAGTTTATGTTATCAATTTAACCTTTTCTCTTACATTGCTTTTTTTTTTTTTTTTTTAGCATGAGACCGTTATTAAATTTAAATCCATAAAAAAAAGAAGACGTAAACATTAATGACGTAAACTGTATAAATATGAGAATTTTTAGTGCAGTCGTCAATAACATACACAATAATCTCGATTAAATCAAAAAAAAGAATGAAACTTAAATATACAGAATTATGAACACAAGATTTTCTAAAATTTATAATATATTTGTTTAATGTAAATAGCAGAAATATCTTAAAATAAAAGTGTTATTTTTCTGGTGAATGTTATATTGAAGGGCGGAGAAATTCAAATAACAAACATAAATCGGCTTCATTGATATAATCATATCTTAAAATTTAAATGGATTTCCCCCTATTTGTATATTAATTTCTATGTTCATATAATCATCAGCTGTAATACTAGCATAGATAAAAGAGCCGTAGAAATTCTTATATGTAGTACCATTCGTTAAATTAATTATTTCTTTACCTATTTTCCCACTCAACACATTATCTAAAGAATCGTTTGATGTACACTCGTATACTAACAATCTAGACTTATCACCATTGTTAATGGATACGCAGAAGGCGCTTTCAGACCATGCAGTACGATATAGATCTTGAGCGCTCCAGAATATCATTTGAGCGCTTAGACTACGATATATTTTAGATTTGCACATATATGTTGCAGAAGTATCCTTCATAATGGTTGGTTGTATAACATTTAGATCAGGGCCTCCATATTGACCCAAATAGAGACCTCCTTGCGAAAAATTGCTAATAACTAGTTTGACATAATAAAAGTTATTAGCGATAGTTGATGAAAGTGTACTAACGGCTGATGCAAGTGTACTAATGGTTGCTGCAGAATCTGTTTGCAATTGGTTTCTTTTTTTGATTAATTCGTTTAGAACATTACTTCTGTAATATGAATAAAGGTTACTCGTTCCTTGCCAATAATCTATTGCCGTATATTGTTCTTCATTTCTCAGCCATACAGCTATTGAAAGAAGTTGGAAGCCACTATATGATGGTCCCAGCTTTCGGTCTCCAATATTTCTTACTAATTGTTGGTATTCCTCTGGTAACTTTCCAAAATTTTCTTCTAGAAATTTATCTCTTTTCTTCGTTTCATGCCAAAAAGCTACGTAATCTTCATTGTCGGGTTTTTGTATTTGAGAATTCATAACTTTTCGAGTTTTTTTTATTCTCCGAATGGTCCACAAGGGTATCTATATAACTTTTCCCATGAACTTTTGTATTACTCGCAAAAATAAGTAAAACCGGTTTACTACCATCTAGAATAATGAGATCATAGTGATCATCTTCACATGTTACATATACAATAACGTATCTTGGCTAAATATCAAGTAAAAACTAGATTTAGGGTGTTCTCATTAAACCACTAAAAAAATCGCTCGCATTTTGTGCTACCCTATTTGGCCGATTTTGGGGGACGCCTAAAGCGGAGGCACTCATATTTCTTAATAATGTTCTCGATTAACTTTAAGTTTTAGATAGTTAGATATAAGCAAAATTGCCTTCCCGACATTTTTGATTAACCTACCCGAGGTAGGTTTGGATTGCCGTTTTTTGTATTTTTCGGGTTTTTGGTTTGCTTCGCCGGCGATCATCAAAATTCTATAATTTGATTCTCCGCTTTAGATTTTGGTATGGATTTGATGGGTTCGATTTTTTGGGCATGATTAACATCTGCTGGTTTTTTGAGCACAGGTTTTTTTTCAATTTTTAACAGCTACCCTACCTCGTTTAGTGCGTCAGGAGTACGTCGAATGTAACCCGAGTTTACATAAGGAGAGCATCTTCCTGCGTTGCGAATACAAAGTAAAATTTCCAATTATATAATATAATTGAAAATTTTACTTTGTATTCGCAATGCAGAAAGATGCTCTCCTTATGTAAACTCGGGTTACATTCGACGTACTCCTGACGCACTAAACGAGGTAGGGCAGCTGTTAAAAATTGAAAAAAAAACCTGTGCTAGTTTTTTGCACTATGTTGTCCGAATGGTCAGTCCGAATAGCGTTGACCTCTCATGATCAATTTTTATTAAAAACGATTGTTGTGGGAACGATGAGATTGAAAAAAATGGCTGTCGATGCTAATTTTAATTCTGAAATAAGCATTTAAAATGATTAACTTGCGTGTAACATTTGTCATTAAAAAAATTAAAACTCACCACAAAACTCCCTGCACATCCCCCGTACATCCCCGCACATCCCAGCAAAACTCCTCCACACATCCGAGTAGGGACGGCAAATGATTTAAATCATAATGTTTTAAATCAGTTTTATATTGTTTTAAATTGATTTATTTTATGATTTAAAACATCGTCACTTTTAATTATTGTCATATAAGTTAATTAAATATCAGCGGATTGATGTGAATATAACAATTAAATAATGTAATTGAAAATTAATTATTAAGTAACAATGTAGTAATAATTTGTAAGTAACAATGTAGTAATAATTAGTAAGTAACAATGTAGTATAACAGACGCCCGATATGTCACATGTAAAATTTTAACATATAGGTCAAATGACTGACGCACCTAAATTTTATATGTAAAATTTAGG